CACACACACACACACACACACACACACACACACACACACACACACACCATTCACTGGATGTCACTTGAGAGACTCTGGGACATCTCAGTTATGTTCTGAAGTACCAAGTCATTTCCTGATTCGAAGGTACATAAGACTGGATTTCCTATGCACACAAGTTATCTATTTGTTAGCTCTGGGGTGATAGATACCTGTTCACTATTTTCCACACATGACATATATATAAATTCTGAGATGTTTTAAAATTAGAACATACTGTGTTATTGTGCTTAGTCCCTGTGATGTAAGTATGTGTTTTAGAAGCATATGACTGTGCACATTAACTTCTTGATAGGAAGAAAGACATCAGCTTTATATTTACCATCTGCTGGATTTTTTTTGTGAATAAATATATACTGGATGTTTCATATATTTTTTGACAAAAAAAATTGGGCAATATTAAGGATGAAAGTTTTCAATTTGGCCAATTTGTAAAAATGTAGGTTTTTGAGACCTTCTTTCCTAAAGATCCTTAATCAGGGCTCCAGGATAGATCCATTCCGGAATAGGCCATCTTGTTGCACCTCACCCAAAAAGCCCAAGAGTGAGCAGCCGAGGACATGCTGAGATGCAGTCAGTGAGAAAGGCCCTCTCTGTGTGAGATGGCACCTTGTTGTGTTCACTGATTCTGCTAACGTAAGCCGAGCACCTAATTTAGCAGGAGAGTTTATTGGAGGGCAACAGCTGTGGTGTTTAGAAGGGAAACTGGCTTTTAAGACTCAGAAACCACCAACAAGAAAATAGGTAAGATTTGTGTGGATGACAGAATCATCTCACACTTATTTCAGTTGTGCTTTGAATAAATAATATGAAATACAGGAAGCCAAACACATATATTTTGCTGTCATTATTTAGCTGAAATCATTAAGTAAAAATGTTTTGCATAAGGGGCTTGGATCTTTTCCTCCTTAGAGAGGGTCATGTGTTTTTGTTGTTGTTGTTTGTTTGATTGATTTGTCACCCACACCAGAACATTCAAGTTTTCACTTTTAAGTGAATTCTTAAGTGTTAACAGCCTTTGGTTGATGACATCAGGGCGCTATTTGCAACCTTGTTTCTGCTTCTAATATTGCAGCCTCAGACAATGCCGTGGCTTTATATCTATACCTCACTTTTAAGTTCTATGAAATAAGAACGCTGATCTAAGAAATTCTGAGTATTCTTTCAGCTCCAGTATCCTAGAAAATGCTGATATGATGATTATGTCGAGCTGGACATGCACTTTTAACTAATGTTATGTGGAAAGAAGCGAAGTCCAGATAGCCATGATAGTCATTTATTCACACACACACAAAAAAAAAATCACTTTTTCTGTAGGATCAAAGGTTGAACCCAGAAATTCAATTCATAGATCAATGCATGTTTCGCTCTAACCCACAATAAGGTTTTACAGCTCTATTCCCAGTGCTTACTTGCTTATGACCAAGGAGTGTTCCTGGCAGGATTTTCCCTTCTTGGCTGAGAGAGAAATACAGTGTGTCCTTCGGGGTTTTCTCCCAGATTTTCTCAGGGAAGGAACATATGCCCAGGTCCCAAGAGGACTATACTCCCACACTCACAGCTGTTCTGCACACGAAGAAGAGCTATATACAAGCTTAAAACATACTCTGTGTTTATGAAAACGCTCTGGGGTACGTTCAGATGTGTTCCAGGGACCTTTCTATTACCAAACTATTGCTAGGTTATCTTCTAAAACCTTCCTAGACTCAGACATTAATATTTTAAGTTCATCACAGATCCCCATTTATTTGTTCAAAGTTCAGCACTTGGCAAGAACAACACTCATCTCTTGCTTTCCTGTAGAATACTGTCTTATGAGAACACAGGAGTATACATCAGGAGTGAAAGAGGGGTAGAGACTCCCCAAGGGACAGGTCCATGTTTCCTGGGTTGTCCTGTTTGAAATTTTTAAATAGGTTAGGAGGGTATCTGTTATTTTAGCATAAATTAGTTTATCCAAATCACTTTTTCTGTGTCTTTTCTTATTGTCTCGACACTTCCTTGCTTATCTGAAACATTACTTCCCTCTAACAACCAGATCACACTCATCATTCTTACTTTCCAAGTTCTTATCTACTGGCCGAAGTATTCACAGAACAAACCTTTTATTCCTCCCCAAGTGCTGGAAGTAGAAGATTTTTACATATCTACCCAATGCACAAATCAATTAGCTTAGCTTCATTCTATTGGTAAAAAGAGATTTGTAAAAAAAAGAAGCCAATGAGTGATGGGTTAAAAAAAAAAGAGTTGCTAATCAGAAGGAACCCAGAAAGGATAGAATCTTTAGATGGTTGAGTCTTCCATTCTTTCTAAGACAGTGTTAAAAATATGTGCACGCACACATATAGAATAATATTATTACATTCGATTCTTAGAGAGTACTACTAAGTAGATAAATTACTGTCCCTAATTTACAGGCACACTAAATATAATCCCCCAAAGGGTAAGTTAACTAATAAGGTGAACAAGCTAGTTGGCAGCTGTCATGCTTAACCCAGGATTTCTGCAGATGTCAAATTTCAACAAGGGTTTCTTATCCACTACCCTTTCCCAGTTTGATTCTATGTAGCAGATACAGAAAAAGATTTGGATGAACCTTATTTGCGGTAGGGGATCTAGACCATCTTATTGATAGATGGCAGGCCCATGACCATTGAGTCAAGATCCCATCCACCGCTGTACTTCCAGGACCCATCCTTTTCCTCATGGTGAGTGTAGGGTAGTGGGATGAAGGATTGATATTTTTATAGAATGAAAGCACTAGAGACGGGGTGAATCTGTCAATATCTGATCTTGAGCCAAGTGACCAGACAGATAGACTTTGCCAACCACGTTAGATCTTTTAACTTGAATAATGAGTGTAGCCCGGTGGTTGTAAAACACAAAAGTCTAGTTTCCCACACTATGCACTCCACTTCCCTACTGTAAAGGACACCTCCCCAATCTTATGCACCTTCTATGAGGCATGTGTCATCTTCAAGAAGGTTGACAGGAATGGGGCTGATGAATGAATGAGTCTGCCCTTCTATGGAACAGAAACAATTCTGTACCCACATGTGAACCTTTTCCAAATATTCTCCTAACAGCGTCAGTCTAATCAGTGGTTCTCAACCTGTGGATTGAGAGCATGCATGCATATTAGATATATACATCATAATTTATAGTAGTGCCAAAATTACAGATATGAAGTAACAATGAAGCAATTGTTTGTTTGGTTGGTCACCACAACATGTGAAATGATGCTAAAGAGTCACAGCATTAGGAAGGTGGAGAACCACTACTCCAGCAATATCACCATACTCCGTAGTAATTCTCCACCTTGAAAAGTATCTTTACATGTATTATTCTCAAGCACCATTAAAAAGAAAAAACTAAATAGTATATCACAGTTTTCATTTTAAAATGGCAGATATGTTGACTTGTGCTTCATTTTCGGTAGTCATTTTAGAGAAGTGAATAACAGAAGTATGTTCACGCACCGCATGGATGCCTTAACGTCCTGACACAGATGAAGTTGCTCCTCAGTGTCTCCTGTGGGCTGATTCCAGCAGCACCTATGGGTATGTAACTCCGTGCATCTCAGGTCCCCTGGATTCAAGCAAAACTTATATGTTGCTCACCTTTGATATATTGTAAACCATGCACATGTCACTTAAACTACATAAAGCTCTGTGATTTCTGTTTAAACAGTCATCCAAATGTACTGTTGGAGAGTAAATACAATAGTCTACATGTTCAGCGGGGAAGCCTGGCTTTCCCCGTAATTTCCGTTGGTTGGTTGAGCCCACAGCCTTAGAACCCATGGATACAGAAAGCACACTGCATAGAGTGAGCAGTTATCAGAGAGAAGCTAATCAACAGAGCCATCTCCTCACATACCAGAAGATAGGCATTTGGGAGCGAGAGCCTTTAAGATATCCTCTCCGCAAATGGCAAGCACACAACACATGATAATTAATCACATTGACCATGTTGTATATAAGGTGTCCAGGCTTTCTTCTCTCTGATGAACAT